TTATGAACCAATTATCTCCTCTTGTGTGAACCTAATAGAAAATAGCAAGTAAAAATAATAATCCAAACAAACACAGGACACTTTTATTGTCTCTACTTTTTCACTTTTATTGTATGTACATCCTGTAGTTTAGAAAGAAAATTTAAGGATACTTACATGAACCTCCAAATTTTTCAACCATTAGTATCAAAGTAAAATCTTTTAAATTTTCCCAACATAATATTTTATCTGGAAATAAAAAAATATAACTTGAGCTATTGATTTTCCTAAAAAAAATCATGAAACTTATTTTAGACACCTCAAAATTCTTTAAAACTTTTTCAATTACCGAAAAGAAAAAAAAAAGGAAAAAGAAGTGATGGTTAAAGTCAATAAATGCGAGTAAATAAAGAAATAAATAAAAGGAGAAAAATGCGTGGGGAACACGTGGGTCAAGGGAGGCTTCGATTAAAAGTCCATAATGGGCGGCTACATTGAGGTCGGCCCATTTGTTTTTTTTTTTTTAATTACACAATAATCCAAGTTCCAACTCACACTTTATTATTCATTATAAATTTATCTAAAGATCATTAAATAAATTACTAAATAGATCATTAGAAATGAAATCTCTAACCAAAACAAATATAGCTCAACGATAATTGACATATATCTTCAACTAAGAAACTGTGAGTTCGAATCATCTCCCCAACAATTTGTACTAAAAAAAAGAAATAAAATCTCTAAAAAATAGTATTCCTAATTCTATGTAAAAAAAAATAAAACAGAGAGAGTTTTTAAATTTTGATTACAAAAGGAAGATTGTGATAACGAGAAAAATATGAGGATTTTTAGATTTGGTCCAATCCAAATATGAAAAAAAATAATAATAAAAATAAAAAACAAATCTAATCATTTAAATTTAAATGAAAATAAAATTCAAATGGAAAAAATATGAATCTCATTTTTTAGGTAAAAAAAAGAGACTTGACCTAAAAATTAGATATGGCCAACGATTAACTTAAGTGCCTTCCAAACAGCACAAAATAATCGTCTATTACACGGCTCACTAATTCTACCTCGAACCAATTTTCTCTACAAATATTTCTTAGCTTAATAAAAATGAAATTGGAAAATAAAAAGTTCAGAAGGAGGTGGAGATGTTCGTTGCTCCAACATTTCAACCAATCAAAATTCTTTTAACTATAAAGATAATTTGAAAGTTTTGAAAGTTTTTGTAAAAATAAAAGTAATAATAAAAAAACAGAGAGAGAGAAATTTATTATTAGGGTAATTAATTTATAAATAGCGAAATTGCAAATAGCTAAGGAAATTGGGATTCGTGACCCATCTTCTTTATTTTTTCTATTTATTTAAAAATTTCTTAATGTTTAAATGTAAAATTACTGCAGTATCTTTATGTTTCAAAATCAACCATCTCTCCCTCGTCTATAAAAAAAAATAAATTTCTTTTCAATCTTGGTTCCTTCTACAAATCTCTCACAATAATCCATTACAAACTTAAAAAATCTAACATTTAAACTTGAAAAATCAATTACGAATAGAAAGCAATCTAACTCAAATAAGTAATTAAAATTTTAATATAGACAAAATGAACAAAAAAAGTTGAAATTACAAAATGAAATATTAGATATTTAATTGTTTAATATGGAAATTCGAATGTACATAATTACATAAGATTTGTCTGAATTTAATTAAAAAAAATCAAGATTTCATAAATCTCGGATCAATATTGCATTAAATACCTGAGATTTAATTGACAATAAGAGGGCTAATAGGAGAGAGAAGACAAAAAAAAAATTGGGATGGTGTTGATCCAGTTAGGGATAGCACAAACC